GGTTAAAAGTTAAAGAACATTGTGTCATTGACTCTGCAGCATTTCCCCACATTACGCATGTATGCAGCAATAGTGGAGAAGAAGAACAGGAAGAAGAACTAGGCTAAGTGTGAGAGGCTTTCTGCAAAGGATGACAGAGGTTCAAGGAGACCAAAGCAGACACACAAAAGACACATAGAGGCACTCATCCATGATAACTCTATTATGTTAGAAAAGGTAATTTTAAAACTAGCTCCATGTGTTGCTCTGTCTCGGAGTGAAGTAAGCTGATGAGTTAAGAATCAGTTTTTATGTCAAAAAGGAGGGTAGAGAGCACATACAGTTAGTCACAGTAAAAACAGAGCCCTTAGCTATGTCTAGAAGAAAAACAGGACTAAACACTAAAGAATGTGTCACAGTTAAAGAGAGCTTCAATGAAGACATTGCTACGATAAAAAAACTGAGATATAATCAAGTTGGATGTTAAACTAAGAAACAAGGCAAAATTGGGCAGTAAAACTAGAATGAATCACAGTCAGGGGAAATGNTGCTGCATTTTGGTTTAAAGGTCTAAAGGTTTAAGAAAAAATCCTACCTATAACAATGTCAACATTAATTGTTATAAACAGCCCTTTTTTTCTTGTTTGTGGTTTGTTGCTAAGGGGGCAGTAGGGCTCTATCTACAGTAGGCAGCATTGCAAAAGAGATTATCAATAAAATAAAATGCATGAATTGACATAGGATCATGTAAAGCCATAATAGTTTAGCCGTATAGCATTAAGGCTAAAGTCAAGATGTTTGCTCTTTACATTACTTAGAAAGACATTAGAATACAAACGTTATCTCATGACTGTGATGATGACAAACGAAGAAAATGTTGATTTTAGTGCAAATTTTTGTAACCGCTTGCATCGACAGAAGGAAATACGACAGACGTTAACATCCATTATGAATAAATCAAAACAGGAGTCAAAAGCTGCCATAACCTGAGGATTATAAATATTATATGTGTATCTAACAGCAGGTTTAGATGGAATGCAGGTTTGATCAACTAATACTGAAAGTCAAATTAGATTTTTATTTGATATCATCTAATGAAATAATTTAAATTTCTAATCAAACATATTAGTTGCAACTCAATGCATTTTACACGATGTGATTCTAAGAACCTTCCTTTATTTGGAAGTCATACCAGATTATTTGGGTGAAATGTTAAGATTTGGATTAATTCTTGTTCATTGTTGCATCAGGGAGCCATCATTTAAAGGCAGACATCTCACTAAGTTGATTAGTTCTTCCTTTTCGGGAACATTTTATGTCAAAATCACAAACTAATTATTTAATATTTTTTGACAGATGAACAAAGTGGTGGTAAAAGTTTGAAAAAAACTTAAGATCATTTTTTGAATAATCTCAAATTATAGTTATATTACTGTAATACTGTAATAGGCTGGAAACATTTCTTAAATCAGGTGTATTCACCCTTAATTTTAGTAGGTAAATGGGATGATTTGCTAATGGGATGAGTATTTTTACTCCTAAAATAAGATAATTAGATGATATGCACTTGTAATAAGAAAATGTGGTTGCTTTTTCTGATTTTAAATGTAAATCATCTTGTTCTATTGGCAAAGTGTATCACTTATCTCCTCAATTAAAAAACAAATGCACTTAGTTTAAGAAAAACTGACTTATTTAGATTTCCATTTTTGCTGTGTATATGCAATTTTTTTGCATTATTTTTGTTTTGATGCTTTAAGGGGAGATGTTTACCCACTCTTCTCTGCATGGTATTGAGTGGTGCGTTTTGGTTGTTCAAAGAGCACTAAGATTTAGTTCTTTTTTTCCCAAAAAGTAGATGTCCAGCAAATAAACCGACCCGGACAAACGCGGGGAGATTTCTACGACGTGGGAATGTGTGAGAAAAAGAACCACGCTGCAAACTGAGACAATGATCGGGCCCTTCCAATCCCTGAGAAGAGAAAAGTTTATGGGTTGACATAAAAAATGTGTTTTCTTCTGCAGCTAAGAATAGGTCTCAAATGAAAGGCCAATAAAGGCGAAAACAGTAGAGGTGGTGGAGAAGCTTTGGCACAAGTGAAGTAGAAAGCCCCGCAGTCAACGAGAATGAATGGAGATCCCTGGTGGGGCATTGCTCTCTGTATTTACCGCGCTGCTTTGCAGGCAGGTTGTTCCTCTATATTCATGGCTCATTAATGGGCCAACCAGTTAAATCAGTGAGCCCCACCGTTTAGACAGCTGAATTCCCTTCAAGAAAAAAAAAAGGAGGCTGGCCAGAGTGGACAGACCGCCCATAAAACCGTCTCCCTCCTTCTTCCAGCTTCACTTCTTCTCAGATCGTTATTTAAGTTCATTAAAGAGATGGAGCTCATGTATATGAAGCGCCTTTAATTGACTCCACAATATTGTTCACGAATAAAGATCCAAGCATGTAATTAATGTCTTTTTTAATAGAAAGGATGATGAACAATACCCCTGGTGAGGCCATTTGATTTCATTTAATTTTCCATCCCATTTGCTTCCAATGCTGCCCTCTCTCACACACAGGGAGCCGTTTGGCCGCTCCTAGGGGCTCCTGGGTGCGCTGTGCGCAGGGGGTTCAACCCAACTTCTCCACAAACAGAAAGGAAACCCTCTCTCTCTCTCTGTGCCTCTATCTCCCTCTTTTAGCCCCTCCTTTAGGAGATTAATGAATTTCGCTGTGGACACAGTGGCATCTGAAAGCAGCGCAGGGATGCATGGGATGGGAACCAGTCGCAAAAGGCCGGGCGTTAATAAATAACCGCTCCGCTCAGCCGGGCGCAACCATTGCGCGCATTGAGGAGATTGTTCGCGTGTCGTTTGGACGATTTGAAAGAGCGCGTGAAGGGAAATGTGCAATCTGACAAAGGCTTGCTTTTACAGAAATATATAACAATTACAATATTTCATAACTGATTTATAAACAAACAAATAAATAAAATAAATAAATAAAAATAAATAAATATTAAAGCTGTAATCAATTTTGCAATAATAAAAATAATATTCAAAGAGAAGAAAACAAATAATTCTCAATTTTTCCCCTAAATATGAAAAAATTATCAACCTTACGTGGAGATATTTTTTAATATCTGGTTTCGCTACTCTTGTTTGAAATATATAGAAATAACGCTTAAAGCATAGCCTCTTAGCAAAAAAAGAAAAAAAAAGCATTTTGAATAATTTTTTAATGCAAACCTGTCTGACATCCACTGAAAAGATTTTAACTCTTGTTTTTTTTTTTGTTTTTTTTACTTTTATGTGCTGATATGTTCATTCAACCCATGTAAATAATTAATGAACCATGTGCAAATTTACAATAAAGACATTATCTATAGATCAGTATTGAACTATTCCAAATTTCATTTTTACAGTGATAACATCTTCTGCTCCCTGGTCTAATTTTCTAGTATGTTTTTATCTCAATTTGAAAACCTTTCAGACACTCAGTGTTAAACCAGTGTGGACAGGTCAAAGGTCAATATAGTCATGGGGTGAACTGACCGCCCACAGGTTGTTCTTCATCCCCTTGACCTAACACAAAACCTTAGATCAGGATTTTTTATATCTTCATCACATTTAGGTTAATCAAACCAAACGAAACTTTTAACTAATTTCATCATTTAATTTATTTCAGAAAATTATTTCATTTAAATCATGATAAATGAAAGTTTCCTTTATAGGTCTAATCTATTTCAGATATAGTGGTTTTCACAGCTCAGTCCTGTTTTTTTTTTTTTTTGTCCTCTCATGTTAATTGCTAAACAAATCGATCCATTAACCAATTAATTTGTCAATCCAGCCTCCCTGTCCCCACACGGCCAATTCCAATGTTTCTATTTCATTTTCTGCCTTCTGAAGGGATGCTGTTAAATTATACACTGGAAATTGTTGTTTTTGGCATTTACTTAATCATATTTAGTTACTTTAATACAATTTTTTGTTGAAAATATTTTTTCATATATTTTAACAGCGAATTTTCAAAATTTAAACACTTTTTTATTATATATCATCAGTTCACATCATAACAATGTGCATTTATTAAAAAATACTGCAGCCATATTACATTTAATACCGATCCTAAAATGGAAATGGTCACAAAACTGTAAATTTATGAGATAGGATTATATATAAAAAAAGAAAGCAATGAGTGTTTCCCCCCCTTTGTTTTTTTTTTTCAAAGTGCAGAATAAAGCAGCTGAACATATTGTTTAAGGAAACAAGAAAACCACAAGTATGTGTGCGTGCGCGCGCGCGCTGGGAAGATGGTGCTGTTATTTTCTCCTCTCCTCCTGCTGCTGGTCCTCCTCTTTCAGTACCTGCCTGATCTCAACCCGGCACACGCCGAGAGTCAATAGAAGTTAACAAGTCCTCTAAACTTTCCTGCTCCTTTTGTTCACACTAAGGACAAAAAAAGAGGAGGAGGGGAGGTGCAGGGAGGGGGATAGAGGAACCCTTTGAAGTATGCAGAAGCCTTAAGAGTGGCAGCCAAGTAGATTTAAAGTATAGCCAAAGAAAACCTGAATAGAGGAAGGGTGACGATTTATGGAGAAATTATACAGTGGATTTGTCAGTGAAAATATCGGAACTGTCTGGAGGACAAAGCCACATGCTGAGGATTAATGGCTGCTCCGGACCTTTGATTCCGCGCTCTCCTTTCTCTGGCCTTGACAAATTGGATTTCTGGGATGGGAAGGGTCGCCGGGCTCTTTGTGTCCCTTGACCGTTTTGGGAGCGATTCATTATGCGGTGGAGTGAGGGAAAGTCTCCATGTGAGCAGCAGGCCCGGCCCGTTTTCCCTCTGCGCACAGCTGCTGGGAGAGCCCAACTCTCTCACACTCAGCCACACATTCACCCACAAACACGCACACACCTTCTCAGAGCTGCTGCAAACTCAGGAGACCCCCTCCCTCCCCACGCAGACCAGCATCACCTCTCATCAGCACCCACCCAGTTCTCCTTCTTCTTCCACTCCATCCACAGACAATCTTGTGTGTGTGTGCGCGGGGGGGTGGGGGGTGTACCTTACCCTGCTCCATCACTAGAAAAGCAGGGGAGCATAACGCCACCGCGTCAATTTGAGGGCGGACATCGGCCTGTCCTCATCTTCCTCCTCCTCCTCCTCTCTGCATGCGCGCTTTCTCCTATCTGGGTCTCCATCAGTCTTCATGGTTCTGATCTCACCCCGCGCCATGCAAGCCACTCGGGCGTCCACCACCGTCAGTGTGTTTGCAGACTGCAGCATCCCGTCCGGGCTCCGGATAGGACCGGTACCTGGCATCTTCAAACTGGGGAAGTACGTGTCGGACCTCAAGGAAACTGGACCTAAGAAAAAGGTAAGCCTGCAACTCTTTACAGATCTATAAATTTAAACCATTTTAGCCATTAAAATTTTGATTTTATTATTGGAATCCGTTAGGATTTATTTAAAAGATTAATTATTTGTTGATTTATATTTTTTTTATTTGATCCAAATATTCAAAACAACAGATTAAAGATAAAAGTGCTTTTTTAAAATATTTTTTATTTATTGGTTGCTGACCTGTCAGACTTCATTGAGTCGCGAGTTATTAATTGGTTTGGCCTGTCAGGTTAGAAATAATTGAGCTCCATTAGTGGCCGACTTGTCAGCTTAACCGGCCTAATGGGCGAAGTCGGTGCGTAGAGGGACTGTGCGCCTTTATGTTTCACAGCCTGCCGGGCCCGTTATTCCTTTGAGCCGTTTACTGTTAATAAAGTCCGGCCAAAAAAAGATGCCTGTGAGGTCCATGACTCCATGTTTCAGCCTTCAGGCGGAGAAAAAACTGTTAAGAGGAAAATAATTTTTAAAAGAAAATCAACTTTGCTGAAAATGTTTAGTTTCACAAATTAAAAAAGTTTAAAATGCATAATAATAATAATAAAAAAGAATAAACGATGCTCAAAAAGATTTTTTCTTTTCGTGTAAAAATTATATATTTTTTTTCCAGCCGCATGAATGTTTGTTTTTATCGCCGAATCTGTCAGCGGCTGTGATTGATGCGTCTAAATGCGTGGCCCCGAGGGGCCGCAGGGGGATCATCAGGTGCAATCTCTGTGTCAAATGTCACGCCTCGATCCCTAATGTCCTCCAACAGTTTAGAAACGCTCTGACACTCTTCAAATTCGTTTCCCATATCAAGTCAATTAGGCCCGTGCGCCTCTGTCTTTAGGAAATGATCAGCAGAGCGGATAAAGACGCATTAAGCGCGCATCACCTTCACCTCCACCTGGAATCAAAAAGCACAACAATTCGATATAACCTGTTTTATAAAATATAATAATACACTTTTTTGTGATTGAACATGCAAATGAATAAATAAAATCAACGCGGCTGTTTATTTAGGTTTCTGCTTGGAAACAAAGTGTTTTCGGGTTTGTCAACTTGTTTTTCCATTTAAAAATTTTTTTGTTTTTTTTGGCTCAGATCCGTTTGGTACGTGGAGAGTTTGTGGACGAGTCGGGCAGCCCTGTGCCAGACTGGATCGGATTTATTCGGGCCGCAAGGAACAGCCAGGAGCAAAACCTGGAGGCAGTGTCGGACTTACCTGGCGGACAGGTGAATTTTCACATTTTTTCTTTGTGCTTCCCTGTTATTTAAATCGAAATAAAACTTCCTTTATTTTACCCATTACTATTTTATCCTTTTTTAGATTTTTTACCGCGTCTTGAGGGAAATCCAAGCAGGAGAGGAGCTCAGTGTCTGGTACTCCAACGGTCTTGCGCAGTGGTACGACATCCCAACAACGGCCACTCCTACGCACGACGAGAAAGGTAAAGGACATTTATTACACATATAATCATAAAAAAAATATAAATGAACAGCTTAGCAAACATTTAACCCTTTAAAGCCAAGTGTATTATATTTCATAAATGAGTTGTTGAATCATGTAGTGAAAAGAAAATGTGTGGAAGACTATACAAAAATGCTTAATGTATCAAAATGTATGCAAATAAATTATGTAATTTAAGTAGTTCGATTTTTTTTTCTTTACTTTGTAAGAAAGTTGATTTACAATTCTAATTTAAAAAAATCTGTAAATTATTTCACTGTCCTGGATTTAATGGGTTAATCAATACATTTTTTTTTATTACCAAAAGGCTTTCGTTTCTTGACGTAATTGACGTTTTCCCCCCCGAAAGAGATCAAATTATGTTTTTTTGTTGTTGCTACAATTAAGTTAAATTATTTTAAATGAACACAAGGAATCAAATCATCCAAATCTGAGCACCTGTCTTGGACAGATATCTGCTAGAAACTAACAAACTTGGATTAGACGCTTAATTTTATCATCAGTCTGGAGAATCTTATTTTTTTTCCTCCCGGTGGTTAATCTTCCTGTTTAGGCTGCTTATAATAATCCGATGTTTGAGCTTGGGGATTAATGCCCCCTCTGTGTAAAACAGACACTCATTAGAGACTAATCCTGTTACAGAGGAGATTATCAACAGATACTTAAATGGAAATTCCTTCATCAGACAGAGAGTCTGAATCAGACATCTCTTGGTTTGTTTATGAAAACAAAACGACAGAAAGTGGGCGACTGATATAATACGAGACCAGAAAAAGAAAAAGAGAAAAATAATGACGGTGTTTGATACGCTGAATAAAAAAAAGCAATTAAAAGCAGAGATTGACGCGCTTCGGTGAAAACAGAGGAAGAATAAGGCCCCGTGATTCAGTCGCTCCACGGAGGTTAACGAATGTCAGCCCGTCGTTAATATTCATGTATTCAAAAGCAAATAATTCAAAAACAAGTGCTTCACGCTGAATTACGTGGCTGCGTTAAGGTATTGTGGCCTAATGAATACCAACTTTTATGTGGGGTGTATATTGGCCGGATTCTGCGGCGCAGCGCGCACCGTGTGCGCTCCTGGACATACGGGCTCACCCCCCCTCCACCATTGAGGCGTCAACAGATGGGTCTGCGCCATTGTTTCTGGAGACTTGCGATTTCAAGCAACAGCTGCTGTCACTTCCACGGGAAAGGGCGCAGAGAGGGAAAGGGCCGCGTTGAATTGTGCGTGCTCCGGAGCGCCAGATTGGGCAGGGCGTTTGCCTTTTTGATGGTGATCATAAACAATGGCCCGCATGAGGATTACAAAATCATTACATCTATATTATCTTTTGAGTGGCCAACTGGGGGCCATTAGGAAGACTCCTAGAGTCTATTACGGTTTGGAACCAGATCTTAGGAGCGCCATAAGGTGCAGCAGGGGGAGGAAGTTATTTTTTTTTTATTGCTCCAATAAAGCTTTGATTTACTTTTAACAAATCTGGGGAGCTACGCTGCAAAAACGATCTATAAATAAATAAAAATGTCTTAAATTAAGTGTATTTACCATTAATTTGAGCAGGTAAATAAGATTATTTGCCAATGGAGTGAGTATTTTTACTCTTTAAAATAAGATAATTAGAACATGCACTTGAAATAAGACTATACAATTATATTTTCTTATTTTTAGTGTAAATTGTCTTGTTCCATTAGAAAAATGTCTCTTTTACCCCCTTAATCCAAGAACAAATGCACTTATTTTAAGAAAAAATGTCTCTTTTACCTCCTCAATCCATTACTTATATAGATTTCGATTTTTTCCAGTGCATGGAAATTTTTAATTTCTATACAATAATAATAATAATAAAAAAAATGAATTATTGGGAATTTTTGCACCAAGGTGCACATAAACCAAGTTATCGAACAGAGCCACAATAAGGATATTTGAGGCCCTAAATTGTGTTCAGTTAAAATCAAATCCACCAGCCATAAAACCTAAAGCTTATCTTTATTAGGTCGTAGAATGGGCGCCTCTATAATTAAAAATATCCGATTTAGTTTTCTCAACATTAATATCAGTTATTAATCTATCACTATTATTTGAATAAAGATTTTTTTTTTCATATTAAACTGTAAATTTACGCCAGCCATGGCTTTTCAATGCAGCCTCAGTGTGTGGAGCAGGGGTCAAGCTTAACAGGTTGTGCCACAAGAAAAGATTGCAACTTTTCACCTATTATTTTTTATTGGTTTGCAGTCAAAGTGCAGGTTAAATAAAAACTCCAGCACTGACATTATGGAGAGAAATGATTTAACTACCCATATTAGAAATGTGATTGTTAATATTCTGTGGAGCGGACCCTTTAATCTGTGACTGAAGAGAAAAACATTTTATTGTCAGTCTTCACTGGTATTTTTAAGGTATCTCTTTTCAAAATGGAATTGTACTCTTTGAGTTCTATCAATGTAATTATTTCATTTTTTAACCAATATGTTAAGTCGAGTAAAAGCATAAAACACTGCATATCAAATAGTTTCTATACGCCATCGCAGCCTCATTGTCATACAGAGAATGCACATGCTGGTGCTCCCTTAATTTGGGACGCCCCATTGTCGTGCCCCCCTGGACAGAGAGCCACATGGCCCAGAAATGCCCACTAGTTAACATAAAAAAAAACACAATGAAGATTTCTCTAGAGAGTCTTTGTATTTTTCTTTTAATCATTAAATCTGCAGTTTTTATTATTTAATAATTTTATTTTAGAACTGAAAACTAACTGAATAAATAACATGAAGTTTGTATGAAGTTATGCACCTGCGGTGGACCAGTGATGACGGGGGTGGGGGATCTAATTTGCATTTAACTTTTATTGAATTATTTGTTTTGGTGTTTTTTTGCAGGCGAAGAGCGTTACATCTGCTGGTACTGCTGGAGAATATTCAAATATCCAAACACTCTCAAGGCCCACATCCACTTCCACTGCGCCCTGAGCAACGGCAGGAGGTTTCTAAGCAGCGAGCAGGCCAGAGGAACCGAGACCTTCAGCAGGTCGCCAAAATCCGGAGACATCCCGAACACCTCCAGCCACAGCTACCCCTCAGACTCCAGCAGGCGGGCGGTGTCCTCCTCGCCCTTCCCAAACAACAAAAGCGGACTGTCAAAGAAAGGCAGCTCCGAGGAGCAGGACAGAGCCCTGGATATGAGCGTCACGTCATCCAGAAACCAGGGACACCTCCTCGGTCTGGGTGCAGCATCCTCGGTGCTGGGCAGCATGGGTTTCCATCCGGGCGTGCGCTCCGCCTTCAAGCCCACTGGCGGCTCCAAAGTCCAGGGCGCGGAGGCTTCCAGAGAGGAGGCCGCAGGGAAGCTGACCGGCGCCGGGTTTAGTAAACTCATAGGAAACATGAAACCGATTCGCAACCTCGGGGAGGCCCTGAGCGGTTCCGGGAACCACCATCCTAAGTGCGCTCCGGCCATCATGGACGCACCATGCGCAAATCCCATACGGGGATTCCCGCTGCTGCAGCATGTGGAGGAAACGTCGGCCTTCAAGCACGTCGAGAGCCGAATGCACGCCGGCTTGTCCCCGTCCCGGTACCCCCAGATCCCCCCCGGTTTGCACTTTGAAAGGTTCTCACTTCCTCACTTTGACGGCGTGAAGGCGTACAGCGGGGACTGCAACATCCCGCTGATGCCCTTTACAGTCTATAACGGAGAGCTGCTGTACAGCTCGCCCTATTACCCGCTCAAATTCCACTTCAGCAACCTCCTCAAATACCCAGACTCAATGCCCTACTTTGGCGCACCGCCTCTTGGTCAGGAACTGGGCTCCATCACCAATATCGACCGGGAGATCGCCATGCACACGCAGCAGCTTTCAGAGATCAGCGCGGAGAAGAACCGGACGCGCCTGGACTCCGTTCCGGCAGGAAGCACCGGCTCCACCGGATCCGGCAAACCCAAAAAGGGCCACCTGTGTCTCTACTGCGGTAAGCTGTACTCCAGGAAGTACGGCCTTAAGATCCACATGAGGACGCACACCGGCTACAAGCCGCTGAAGTGCAAAGTTTGCTTCAGGCCCTTCGGAGACCCGAGCAACCTGAACAAACATATCCGGCTGCACGCGGAGGGAAACACGCCGTACAGGTGCGACTTCTGCGGGAAGGTTCTGGTTCGGCGGAGGGATCTGGAGCGGCACGTCAAGTCCAGACACCCCGGACAGACTCTGAAGAAGCTGGACGACAAACCCGGGGGCCCGTTTGAGGACCCGGAGCACAAGAGCGAGAACGAAAGCGATGTGGACGTTTGCTTCACCGACGACCAGAGCGACCAGGAGTCCAACAAAAACACAGACTGAGCTGCTTCCACGGACACAGAAAACTAATCAAGAGTTTTTAGTTTTTTTTCTTTTTGGCGTAGCATGAACATTTCAACTAGTTTTCCCAGTGACATGGTCTAAACAAAAATACAACACTTTAATACATTTATTTTTTATTTGATTTAATCAGGCTGTTTTCGGAATGTCATTTATGCATTTAGCGATTTATTCATTAATAAGTGTGAAAAAATGGCAGTTTTCTTTTATTTTCCTCGCCAATTATCCTTATAACATTTTTTTTTATTAAGTGGAACCAAAAACATTGTTTTCATGCAGGCACGAGACCCACCTGCAAAAAAAAAGAAAAAGAAAAAAAGAAATTCAACCGCTTATAGATATTCTCTTTTTATCTTTTATTGCAAACATTGAAAGTTAAAACAAAACAAAACTGCCACACTGGAAGAAAAAAAAAACGAAATCTAGATAAGTAATTTTTTTCTTCAAATAAGTGCATTTGTTCTTGAATTGAGGAGGTAAAAGAGACATTTTGCCAATGGAACAAGACAATTCACATAAAAAAAAAATAAAAAAAAAACACAATTGCATTGTCTTATTTTAAGTGCATTTTATCTAATTATCTTATTTTAAGAGTAAAATACTTACTCCATTGGCAGACTGTCTCATTTACCTACTCAAATTAATAGTAAATACACTTAATTGAAGAAATTTCTACTTATTTCTAGAGAGTTTTTCCAGTGCAACATATGAGATATGTTTGTTAAATTTGCTTTATTTGTTGATGAAAGCTTTGTAATAAACTCAGTTTAATGATTCAGAACAAAACCTTAATCCAAATATGAGAAGCACAAGAGCTCCCAGTCAGACTTTTCCCAAAATTGGCTCCCTAATCATTTCTTTTTCTTTTTTTTATTGTGAATATTCTCATTATTTTCCTTTTTTTTGTAACTGCTTTTGCACTTTAAAAATAACCCACCCCCACTGTTGAGCTGCAATTCTTATTATCAGCTCCTCCTCCCCATTTCCCTCTGACCATAACTCTGTTATTAAATTTGCACTTTTTTTCCCACCTTGCCCTCTTCTGGAAGCACCATGCAGCTTCCAGCTTATTTAAGGATTTATAAACAGAAAAAGAAAGTGTAACTATGGTTTGCAGTCCAATGCATTGTAAATAAGTTGTACATTATAATGATGAGATTTGGCATTCCATTGGAGAAGTTGTGTGTGTGTGTGTTTATACGTGATGTTGTCTAAGAGGACAATAATATACTGCTAATTATTAAATGGATGTTTTCCTTTTTTTTTTTGAATAAATTAATTTAAAGCAAAAGATGTGTTTGATGTCTTTTTTATGTGGGATAGGGACGTTGGTAAACATCTCAAATCAATCTCAAATCTTTTATTATCTATTTATAATTTGTGATGAATGTTTTATAAAATGTCAAATTTGACCTCTCTTAAGAAGCTGTTAGCCTGCAATGCATAATTTTTTTCTTACCGAAAGTTATATTATTTGCAAAAAGCACTCATTTAATATTAATTTTGTATTTTTTTAAATCTTCTATGTATCTATAATGTTTATAGTGCTTTAATACAAAAATCTAAAACTTCATCTTCTGCCTGAGACCAAGAAAATACTTGGATAATGATTTGAAATAAAAAAAACAAAACAAACTAAGTTATGTTAAATATCAAATTTAAAAAAGGGTTTTAAATGACATGATTTGAATTAATGTCAAACAAAAATCATAGCTGCTGTTTATTGGTAATTTTGATGAAAAAATTAATATGTGAAAATAATGAAACCTATGATGCAAACTGTTAACTACGTAGAAAACAAACACTTTGCTACACTTATCACTCTGTTAGAGATCTGTTTATTAGAAACCATGAGCTACTGCACAATTAGAGGCTTTTGACATGCTTTTCTGGGGTCCAATTGTGGCCCCTGGGCTGATTGGCATGTTTCCTGACTGCAGGCAGACTGTGGTAAAAATCTGATCCACAAGCACAAGCTGATGCAGATGGATACGTTTTATTTCTAGTTAGAGAAAAAATAAAACACGTTTATTCTTTAAATGGAAAATATTAGCTGTAACCTAAAGTACCCATCTTTTTGTGTTCTTTAAAAGTACTAAATCAATTGGACCCCATCTGCCCACTGACTTTTTCCTTCTTTGGTTCTCCCCAGAACCCACTTTTAATTGATGTTTTAAACTTGGCAGAATACAGCAAGCTTTTCCAAACTGTCTTTATTTAAATTAACGACACACGCAGAACCCTTTCAATTGAACTTATTTGGGGAAAGGAAAACTGTGTGCAACATTAGGTCTTGAAGAAAAGTGTAAATTATTATAAAGCTTGCTTCCATTGTCCCTAGTTTTTTGCAACAAATGCAAAAAAAAAAAAGCCAATGTGAATTGATCTATCTATCTATCTATCTATCTATCTATCTATCTATCTATCTATCTATCTATCTATCTATCTATCTATCT